TCTCCCTCTCCCACTCCCCCTGCTTGTGTTCCCTCTCTCGCTGTGTCTCTCTCTGTCAAATAAATAAATAAAATCTTAAAAAAAAAAAAGATTCTCTTTCTCCCTCTTCCCTGCCCCTCCCCATCCCCTAAAAAAAAAAAAAAAAAAGAAGAAACACCAAAAGACTCAGATCCAAGGACATGCATGTGAATCGTGGCTCCAGTCTTAGCAGGGTGGCCTCAGGCAAGCTTCTCTGAGTTCTAGACTGCTCACCCATTCAACAGGAAAACCACCACATACACGATAATTGTGAGCACAGGAAGTACTGCACAAATACTGGCAAAAGTGGAATCAGATATTACTAAGTCTGTGACTGATACCAGTGACACAAAGAGGGAAAAAAATGAATTAAAACAAACCAGGTTATCCCAAGTGAACCCCCTTTACTCATGAAGCGCATGGCTCAAAGTTTCCGCAGCAGGTGGAGAAAAAGGAGGGAGCCACAGCCTGGTCCAATGTGACCAAAGAGCACTGGGACTTTGTTCCCCTGCAGCTTCAGACTTCTGCTGTGAGGCCTTTGTTACTGTGGCACTTGGGCCAGTAAGCCTGGGGAGAGTCGCCCATTCAAGTTAAATACGGATAGATTCGGGGGGCTCATCTGCACATCTGGTGGGCTAGGGGACAGAGGAGCGGACATGGACTTCAAATCCACTGCAGAGCGCTGCCTGGTGCAGGTGCCCTGCAGGGAACTCCAGCTCCACCCGGAACAAGGCCAGGCCTATCTGAGTGTCCCCCCACTCGAGGACCTGCCACCAGGGAGCAAGTCCCAGACGTTGTCAGCACCTTCTGATGAGTTCCGAAGGGGTGCCACCCCTGGGAGGATAGGACACCTAGCCACACCTAACAAGACACATGAACAAAGGCAAGAAGGATGTTCAGATAGAGGACAGCATAAGCCATGGAGGGGTGCATGAGAGAATGGTGTGCATGCGTGGGGACCAGGTGGAAGGAGGACAGCACACTTCAGCATCACGAAAGAAATGAGTGGAAACCGTGGTGAGACCCGCAGCCGGAGGGCCAGGCTGGAGCCAGGCACACAGGGCCATGCCCACCACGCCAAGGACCCAGCGCTCAGCCCCGGCAGTTGGGAGCCTGGCCAGGGGCTTAAGCGAGAGAGGGCCATGGTTAGGTTCACATTTCAGGAAACTCACTCTGGCTGCATCAATATGGAGAACAGACTGAAAGGGGAAGGATCAGAAGCAGAAAAATAAGTTACAAAGTCCCACGGGGCTGGACCCTTGGGATGTGAAGAAGGGGACAATGTCACCCCCAGATGGCACCAGGAGGGTTTAGCTGGTGGCTCAGGATCCGACACATGCTCACATGGCTCTTCCAGAGCAGCCTGTGCAAACGGCCTCCCCACTAAATATGATAATATCCTTTGAAAATTCTAAGTACCTCTTCCTGGAGTGGCTCAAAGTCCCTTAACAACATACAGTACCTGACCGTTCCTAGGGGAAGCTGGGCCGTGCGGTTTGTCCGAAACCATAAACCCAGGCTGTGAAATCCTAGCTCATAAACAAACAAAAAGTCTGCAGCTCTGGACGTACAAGAGACGGGTAAGGGGGGGCCCCTCGGAGGAGCAGGGCAAGGGCAGGATGGAGCTCTAGTTTTCACTGTATATCATTGCTGCATTTTGTTTTACCACTTCTAAATGTTATCTCTTCAAGAAGCCAAGTGAAAAAAGGAAGGGAAGAAAGAAACTGTCCGCCAAGTCAGAGCTTCTTCATTTCTATTTATTATAAAACCTTTAAGACATTTTCTACAAGACCTGATGACTCAAAACTTCTCAACAGGAAAAAATTTCTCAAAAGGGAAATGGAAAATTATGGTAATTTGCACAAAGAATGTGTCACCAGAGAAATCTTCATGAGCAGAAATTCCTTACGGGGACAAAACTGAAAATCCCCTAGAAGAGCAGCTGGGAGCCTCTGCCAGCCCCAGCCGAGCTGCTCGGCTACCATGAGGAATGAGGCGCACACACACGCACACACACACATGCACACACATGTGCACACACGCACACACACGCACGCACAGTTCTGCGTGCAGCTCCAGGGACCTGACAGGATCCTGGACCCACTTACCACTCCTGCCTTGGCATCAAACCAAAGCTAGTGGCGCACCTTGGACAAGAGTACGTAACCCTCTGCACCTCACTTTCCCTGCTGTAAAATGGGGATGATGACACCCGTTCCCACTGCATAAAGCGGCTGCTGGTCACCATCATGCCTGCTGTCGCGCGTGAACCCACGCTAGCCATGCGGGGGAGCTGTAGACCAAAGGGGAACCGAATGCTGGAATCCCTGCCCTAGCTTCTAAAAATGGGAGGTGAAATCTCGTCAGGCCCCCACGACAAATGAAGTTTTAGCCTGAAAGCAGACCGGGCAAAGGCGCTGCCATGCAATGCTGACTTCACGCAACAGTAAGCGAAACACAAGACGGAGGCGCTCAGCCTTGAGGGCAAAAACCACCTGCTTTCTACAAAGAACATGACGACTTTGGAGGAACAACGAGGCTTTCATTGAGAGAGCAAATAGAACACGACAATTCCAAGGAAGGATCAGTTTCCTCATGACAGTAGTTAAGATCAAGGATCCGAGCTAAAAGCAAAAAGGAGGTTGAGGAGCGACTATTTGGAATTGGATGTATTTGGACTTCAATGTAGCACATGTGTTTCACGTGGCTGACTTTGTCTAGTTTTGTTTCCTCACTAGGTTGGGGGCCTGCTAAGGGTCCCTCCCTTCCAGTGTGAAGATACAATGTTAAATAAATGATTTCATTAACAAGATTACCAGATTACAAACACACACACTTAAAGTGTAACTGATACCGTGTGCCTGACAATAAAAAAATGACATATTCACCTAGCATTCAGCAGATTTTCTTTTAAAACTTTTCCTATTTTGGAAACCTTGAGATGAACAGGAACACAGGATGTGTATCTAGACGGACATAGGACTATATACAGCAGGAGCCAACGTGAAATTGTATACTTACTACTCCCAACAGGATTAAACTAAAAATATTTTGTGAGACTTGACTGGGGAAAACTAAATGAGTGCAAGGATATTTCAGAGGAGTATCTGGGGGGATTGCAAAAACTCATGTTAGGCCTGGATAAACAGCAGTCAAGAACCCAATGTCTCAATTTCCCAGGATTTTTAAAAAACTGCTGGGCTCCTCAACTCCAGCTGCTTCAGTGCTGCTCTAGAACAGTCTCTGGACAGGAGCCCTGGGAAGATTAAGGAAGCTCAGGGCCCCAGCGCTTGCTCGCGCCCTTGAGCAAACAGCGCTGGCTGGCCTCCAGCCCCTCACATCCCCTCCACCTGCAACAGCAGTGAATCAGCAAAGCTGCTGGAAGCCTTTGAACCGATGACTCGCAGCCCTGGTGGGTTTTCAGCCAGTCACTTTGAAGTGTGAGCTTCTGAGAGAAACTTGGAAAGCACCCCCGGTGTGCTGCCCAGTTCTCGTTTCCCAGTCCTAATGCATGTGGCCTGAGAGAGAGACAGGGAGACAGATGGACAGAGATACACTGGGACAGATACAGAAAGAGTGCTTGCGACAGCATGACTGTAAGGCATGCAGACCAGCCCCAAGGGGCCCCTTGGTGGGGCCACAGTGGGGAAGGCATGGTACATGAGCTTAATCCTTAGCAGTATGAAAGACTGGTCAGAAATCTAAATGTTTTGTTTCTTTTTTTTTTTTTCCAAGTCATCTCTACACCCAACATAGGGCTCACACTCACAAACCTGACATCAAGAGTCCCGTGCTCCAACTGAGCCAGCCAGGCACCCCTAAATGTTCTGTTTCATTCATCGTACCCTCATCTTCCCACCTTCCCAAATGTAAATATAAATTAAGGATGAATATTTACAGCCTATATTGTAAATAAGGGTTACTGGCCTGGCTATACAAAAGGCTCCTCATACCAACAACAACGAAAACATATGTGCCCATAAAAGCTTGTACACAGGGGCACCTAGCTGGCTCCGTCAGTAGAGTGCATGACTCTTGATCATGGGGTTGTGAGTTCGAGCCCCACGCTGGGGGTAGGGAACACTTAACAAAATAAAATCTAAAAAAAAAAGAAAAAAAAGCTTGTACACAGAAGTTCATGACAGCATTACTCATAAGAGTCAAAGGTGGAAACAACCTAAATGTCCATCAACTGATGAATAGATAAATAAAAGGTGGTCTGTCTGTGCAACAGAATACTGGACAATAAAAAAGTAATGACATATGCTACAACACAAATGGACCTTGAAAATATTATGCTAAATGAAGCCAGCCAAAAGACCACAAGTTACATGATTCCATTTACATGAACTGCCCAGAACAGGCAAATCCGTAAGGATAGAAAGTGACTGTCTAGGGCTGACGGAGACAGGGAAGTGGGGAGTGACTGCTAAGGGGTGGTGGGTTTCTTTTTGAGATAATGACAATGTTCTGAAAATAGTGGTGATAGTTGCACAACTCTGGGAATATACTGCAAGCTATTTAATTGTGTACTTTAAATGGGTGACTTGTATACTAGAGAAATACCTCAATAAAGCTGTTACAAAAAATTAATCAATAAGAAAAAAAATCTCCCAACAGAAAAATGAGTCAAAGAAATGAAGAGGCAGTTCACAAAAGAAACACCAGTGGTCGATATATTCTATACGGAAAAAAGATGTTCAGCCTCACTAATAAAGAAATATAAACAAGTACAAGATACCACTTCCAGGATCAAACTGGCAAACATCTAAAAGACGGACAGTTTCCACAGCATGTTCCCAGCGAGCAGGATTATGAAATGGTACCCTTTGTCTAGATGGCAGCCTGCTGACACTGATGCAAATTTTTAATGCATTCGTTGGTTGGGTAAAAACTAATGCCTGGATGTGAGTAACTGATCAAGAGCCCCCGGTGCAGATGCTACAGTTTCCCAACCTGACGGGGATTTCACCCAGCTGGAAGGAAACTGTTGAGTCCTGGCAAAGGACTGTGGGTGGGGCTGTGTGGCTGTGCCCAGAAAAAACACAGCCTTGCTAATATATAATCAGCGCCACCATGTGAAGCAATTGGGAGGTTACGGAAATCACAGGCTCATTGTTTCCAAAGGGCAGCAGCACGTGACGAGAACACCACCAAAGGGGATAACTGGAATGGCTGCCGGAGCTGCCTGCCTGCAAAGGGTTTCAGGAACAGGCTACTTCATTGATCCCTGCAGTGATGCCACGAGAAGGCTGTTAATATGATTGCCCCCCATAGTGCAGATAAGCCAGTCAAGGCTTAGAGGGGTTGTCAGCTGACCTAGGTTGCACTGACACACCGAGATTCAAGGCCACGTCCATATACTCTAAAAGATAAGAACTTTCCTCTTCAGAAAAAGACAAAACTTCCACAGACAGACAGACAGACATGGAATGCTAGGCTCTACAGACCCTTCATCTGTCCCAAAAGGGCAAATTCTCTGTCGTTAACTGGCACTTACCAACTCCCTCTCCTTATACTAATAAGGGTTACAAACCATCTTATAAAAGCTAAAAGTAAACATCACTAAGTCTTCGTTCTAATCTTCGATGTTTGCTGCTGCCAGATGAAACATAAAATTAAGACTCAGAAACACCTTGATTTTCTGGAAGCATGGCACACTAGGTACCCAGGCCAACTCTCATAGCAAACAGCTGCAAATGCTGAAGAGAAAGTGTGAGACATCTTTTAAAATGCATCAAAGAACTGGCAAGTCAGTAAGGAACACTGAGGGGTCAAACAAAGTTAAGCAAAGGCTGGAATCCAGAGAGCAAGTGGAGCTCTGA